AACTGAAGGCAGCAATGAGCAATTTGAATTAATATGATCGCATCTTATTTCCTGGAAACCCAAGATACTTGCAACACAGCGTTTTATCGTTGTGTTAGAAGTTCAACGAGAAGTTATATATTTTACTAGTTGGGTGGAGAACATAACATTTATCTTGTCATTTTAAAATAAAAAAAGAAGATGTGGTATGATTGCCAATGAGACAACTCTCCAAAAAAGACCAAAATGACACAGAAATAAACACTTATAGGTCACCTTATGGCCTTCAACAATGAGCAAAGCCCATACTGCATAGTCAGCTATAAAAGGCCCTGAAATAACAATGTAAAACAATTCAAACGAGAAAACCAACGGCGTAATCTATGTTTGCTCAGCATTCATCATGAAAAAGATAACATTATAAATCATTTTAGGAAAGCACTGTGTAAGCAGACATTTCAGGAGGCAACAAGTCTGTAGGCTGACTGTATATTATCTGAACAAGTTCATTTCTTGTCAACTTCATAATTATTTCAAACATTTTAATAGATGTCACCCAAATTTGGTCTATTTCTTTAAGCTTAATATTCTTGCTATTTCAAAGTCATGTTCATTTATTTTTCAACCGCGCCCAGAAATATGCCAGAAATATACATATAAGATATAATATTCTCATATTTGAACAGCCAACTAAAGTTTTTCAGGGGACCCCTCCCCCCCCCTCCCCCCCCCCCCCCCCCCCCATTTTGTGGGAAACTTTTGTTGATCATATACATGTAGTGAATCACTGAAGCATGACTGGAGCGGGCACCCTCTTATGAAAATTTCTAGATCTGCCACTGGTAGTCCATTTTGTCAAGTAGTAATCCTCAAAAGTAAATAATAGGTTTTCTTATCAACTTGATTATATTAACCTTGCAAACTATCACATAATTGTCAAGACACAGTATGCATGTTAAAACTACTTGCATTGTCATAAAGAGTAAACAATCATATTCCACAAAACAAAGAAAAAAGTGTATGTATCGTTACTCTAGCTATTACAAAATATATATATATATATATATATATATATATATATATATATATTATCATAAGTGACTATAAAGCCTCCTTCCATGATAACCCTGATCCACCAATACTACAACTAAAATCAATAACCAGGAGAAAAAAGACACTATATATTCATAGTGCTTGGAATGCAAGATTCCAATAAAAAAACATATACCCACAAATTTTAAACCACCGATTTCAATATAAGCAGCTAAAATGCGGCAAGCTTTTTAGAAAAGCTATTACTTGTTAAGAAATAACCTTTGATTGATCAGTATAATCACCGGTATTTTTTTATTATTGACTTTCTCGACTCTATCATAAAAAGAGAGAATTTTCTTGTTTTCGTTCACTTATAATCCTACTTGTGCATTTTCTTCAAATAATTTTCTTCTAAAATCTTCAACCACCCTTTTCCATTAGTTTTATTTATTTATCTATTTACAAGTTTGATCGTTTATATAAATATACATTGTTAATTTCCATTGTGTAGTGCAATGTAGGCGTATATATAATAATAATTTTGCAGCTGATATAATAGTTTTAGGTAAATAAATTGAAGAAAAACTACGGTTTCTTATTGGTGCATTCTGAATAAAATTCGGATCTATCATAACTTTCATTCGTATACACCTCTATGTCTTGCATTGTTCTGGACATAATATTCAATTTCATGTATGATAATATAGTATCAAAATATGCTAATCTTACTTCAAGCATACGGATTCATTTCATCTCTATGGGTAGCAGATTCTGCTGAACAAATTTTATTGGTTTTAAAAAATATCGGATGCCTATATAATTCTTTCATTGCCTTTTGTAGTTGAGGGGTTGTTTTATTCAATTAACAACTTTTATTTTTGTATACAGAATATTTCAAAAATGTGTTGGCGGATTATAAAAAATAAATGGAGAATGTGTCCCCATGGACACAGATGATGCCCCTGCTTGCATACATTAAAAAGGGACATAACTCAAGAACAATAAAAGTGACGCTACCCAAATTTGTACTTGATCTTAGTTTTGTGGTAATAAGTATTGTGTATAGGTTTCATGTTTGGTTGGGGCAAACTTAAGTTACAGAACGGAAACTAAAAATTTTACAATTTTTCGATTTATAAAGGGGCATCACTCAATAATGGTTAAAGTGACACTACCCAAATTCAACTTGATCTGTGTTTTATCAGTAGAAGGCAAAATTAAACATTGCATTGTATAAAGCATTGATTGTACTTGATTCAACCATAATCATGGACAAAGGAAGATAACTCCAATTTTAATAAAATGCTCCGCTGGGCGCAGCTTGATACGACCGCAGAGGTCGAGCCCTGAACAGTTGGGGCAAGTATGGACACAACATTCAAGCTTGATACAGCACTGAATTTGGATTGTAATTAAATATTTGACACAGCATAGGTTTCTGACACAGAATGAATGTGGTCTAAGAACTTAAAAAATTTTAATTTACCTATTCACACCATATCATTATTATTTGCTTTTATATATAAATCAGAAATAACCAATTTAAAATGGAAAATTTTAAAGAAAAAAAAGGGAAAAAAATCCCCCCTCCAAATTTTTTGAACCTCCTTATGATTCTTCACCCACAAACTCAATCTCAGCCTTCCCTTTGTGGTATGGTACCTTGCAGTACAATTTCGGAGAGATCCATACACTTGAACACAAGTTATCGTCTGGAAACTAGAAAAATGCTTGTTTTCTGGCCCCTTTTTGGCCCCATTTTCCTAAACGTTTAGGGCAATTACCCCCAAACTCAATTTATCTATTTATTTCTTATTTTCTTTTATTTGCTACAATGAAACACGATTTGATCAAATTTAGAATACGAAAATAACCAAAATTTGGAGAACTGTTCAATGAATGTATATTAATATTTGAAATATAATTTTAGAATCAGTAAACATCAAGAATATTTCACCAAATGTACATTAAATAAGAAGATAAAACAATTTATTGCTTGAAATAATGCCCATCAAAACATTGAATATTCTTCATCAGATTTCAGTAAACAAGCCTAATGCCTGAAAATAACATGTCTATGCGTTAGCTTATCGCCTAGGATTTAAACGTATTGCATAATTTCACTGATGGCCGCTGTCATATATATACGAGCACAAGATAAACGTGATAAATAATACATTTATGGTTTACAGTTCAACCTAAACGAAACATGAAAATAAGAAGATCCGTTGCTTCCTTGTGATAAAATGGAAAAACTTTATTAATTCATTGCGTCCGAAGAACTTTTCGGGTTTTATCTTTATCAGGGCCAAGAGGGAGAAACAACAGTACACTTCACCTATTGGTACTTTAGCAGTACTATTCTTTCATTTTCTTGTGCGTGTTTTGTTTTATTTGCATCAGGTTAGACTTTCCATTTTCAAAACCTGTCTATCCCCCGCCTTTTCCCGTGAAAAATATCAAAATTTATTAATGGTCGCATCTCTATGATAAACAATGATGATAACAAGAATGTGTCCATAGTACACGGATGCCCCACTCGCACTATAATTTTCTGTGTTAAGTGGGCCGTGAAATTGGGGTCAAAACTCTAATTTTGGCATTACAATTAGAATATTATAGGTAACATGTGTACTAAGTTTCAAGTTGATATGACTTCAACTTCATCAAAAACTACCTTGACCAAAAACTTGTACCTGAATCGGGACAGACAGACAGACGGACGGACGAACGGACGCACAGACCTGAAAACATAATGCCACTCTACTATCGGAGGTGGGTCATAATAACGAGAAACGAGAAACACTTATGAACCACATCAACAAACGACAACTTCTGAACATCAGATTCCTGACTTAGGACAGGTCTATTTTAACAAAACGCATTTGACTAACAGATCGAACAACTGATGTTCTTAAACCCAACTGACTGCCATTGGCGATTGCCAAATAAAATGATCACCAGATCTAACAGAATGGATCTTAATGTAAATTTATTACCAAGAAGAAAACAATAAACTTGTTGAAAAGATTGTATACCACAAACATGAGGTGCAAAACTTTGTACACCATATCCGGATTTCGACAATTAATGTCTATTCAGTGATGTTAGGGATCGAAACGGTATTTGGAAGGCCACATAATTTACCTCAATTTAGCATAGACTCTTGAATTTTAAAGAGTCGAAATAGGATGAACGGATCATATAAACCCGAAGGAAAATTTAATACAAGCCCAAACGAAAAAATATAAAAAAGTCCAAATTGAAAATAACGTTCAAACCTATGATTGCGGTGGATAAAACCCGCAATTTTTATACGTGTGCATGCAAAACAGATTTCTTGTTAGAGGGGTCTAAATACAGCACAAACAACATTTTCCAAAGACCAAAAAAAGTGAAAAAGTCTATTCTAACAAAACGCATTTGACTAACAGGTCGAACAACTGATGTTCTTATACACTTATATAAACATATAAGTCTGAGCCAGTGAAAACTCTACGACAGATTTATTCATTTGATCCAAGTGATGGTGATACAAGGCTGAACCAACTTTCTGTAGATATAATTCGTCTAAACATCAGCCCAACAATGTTAGATCTGCAAATTTGCGGAAGCAAATGTTTTGTTCTTCCCTGGCCGGGATTCAAACTCATGCTACTGAGATATCGTGGCACCAAATCGCCTTGCACTGTGCCCGACGCAATAGACCAGTCGACTAGGCTCTACAAAAATAAAGCTTTCGGTGGCCTGTTGTTACCTTTCCTCGTCGGTTTTTATCTAGCGTCGTAACACAGTACATGATATATAAGTCATGAAGCTTTATTAAGATGGAATATATATTTAAAGATACTGTAATGGATGGTGACACTTTTATAAAATAAAATAAATCTTTTAAAAATAAAATTATTAGTGTGTTGCATATGATAAATTATATTCAAGACAAAGTAAGTAAATAAAAAATTTTTTTACAAATAAACATTACATACCACGTTCATATACGGGAAATATAGTACTTGCTGGTCTTTGTTGTGATGTTGAGGAAGTATCAAATGATGCCGTTCTGAAAATGTTTTATAGTAAAATTGCTGGTCTACAGATATGAATATGATGATGACGAATGCTGATATGAATAGTACAATTTGACATGTTGTTTAATATTTTTTGCTGGGTTGGACGGAATCCAAAACCAGTTTATAACATGGTGGCTTCGGTGGACAGGGAAAGGTGGGTTCTTAAATTATGAAATCAACTCATTATTGTATATTTTCCTTTAATACATTTAGAAATCATAAAACAAAATAAGGTTCCGATTTCGTTAATTATAAACTGACCTAAGATGGTTTTGGGCTATTTTTTAAAGGTCTTTTTCGTTCATATAGGTTCTCAAGTATATTTCCATTATTGACTTTCAAATTTAGGTTTGGAGCTTACCTGATGAACACGAGTCAAGAAATGTCTCATGAAGGCTTTATTCATAAAATGTAATTTTTATTTCCTGTGTCGACACCGCTACTGGTGGAGCCAGGGATTTGCATTGACACATTTTATGACAACCTTAAGATGAAGACTATTTATATTAATCTGACTTTTTATACATATAAATGTATATATATATATATATATTTGGGCTGAAACTTATTACGTTTAGTGCCGAACAACTAAAACTTGCAAAATTGCCTCGATGTGAAATCTTGTCATTAATATTTACACAAACTCATCAAATTACCAGGATAACAATTTTGTACGCTAGACGTTCGAATTAAAACAGTACATATGAATCAATGCTTTATTGATAAAAGATATTTTACTACACTGATGTATTTTACAAGGATATGAGTGTTTTAAATATTTTTTCGGGTTAGAACTTGGTTCATATCTTTTGTGTTCAAAAAGATTTGAAAAATTGCACATTCCGGGCAAAAATTGAATACTGTCACGGCTTTTCGTTTTCTTGATTTCAGTGCATAGTCTTTGATACTTGATTTCAGTGCATAGTCTTTGATTTCAGTGCATAGTCTTTGATACTTGATTTCAGTGCATAGACTTTGATACTTGATTTCAGTGCATAGTCTTTGATACTTGATTTCAGTGCATAGTCTTTGATTTCAGTGCATAGTCTTTGATACTTGATTTCAGTGCATAGTCTTTGATACTTGATTTCAGTGCATAGTCTTTGATACTTGATTTCAGTGCATAGTCTTTGATACTTGATTTCAGTGCATAGACTTTGATACTTGATTTTTGTATAAGCTTTGAACTAGCTTTCAGTAACTGCCAGTAGTCTCAGATCTGTGCTTAGTGGTTTGTTTTTTTTTGTTTGTTAGTGATGAGAGATGGATAAATACACTGCCAGATCCGGTCTGTGATTTTGTAAGATATTTTTCTGCTTTGTATCACTCTAATGTGTTAAGCCATTCCCGACCGATTTTAATAGTTTATTCTTATGTTGTGCTGTGACACCGCTGTCCCAGGTTAGGGAAGGTTGAGCGCTAACAAACATATTTAAACCCGCCACATTTTTTTGTGTGTCTGTCCCTAGTCATGAGCCTGTAATCAAGTGTTTGTCGCTGGTTCATGTCTAACACATTTTTTTTTTGTAAACTGTTTTTTTTTTTTATAAATTAGGCCGTTTGTTTTTTTTCATTTTTTTCATGTCGGAGCCTGTTATAGCCGACGATACGGTCCGGTTGCCTATAATTGCTAACATCCACTTCATTTGAACTTTTGTGAATAGTTGTATCATTGGATATCATAACACATCTCCTTATTTTTATATAAACGTTTTCGCGGGATCGAGTTAAATTCGCGCATCAGTGATATGTCTTCTTTTACTTTCTTCGAATACATTATTTAAAGGATTGACTTCTACCAACAAAAGTACGCATCTTTATAATCTAAAATCCATATGATTTGCTCTTTACCGTTGCTGTCTTCAGGAGTTTAAAAGTATGTATACTTGTAGCATAATCTGCAACTTACTGTGTCTCTACAATAACGAAACATCTACCGTACTGCAAATCCAGTCTCAGTTTTGAAGCACATTCATAATCTATGTAAAGTGTGAGAAAATTATTAAACATATCCTTGAATCGCAATATTTTTAAGAGAATAGTAATGATTTAGACAATGATTATATCAAATACAAAACATATATTATTTTTATAAAAAATAGTTTTGATATGGATAAATGTAAACAATCTTCATTTTAATATCGATTTCAAGAATAACAATAGATACAAAACACGACTTGGGGCAGGCATATTTTAATATGCAGGTGGATTAAGCTTGTTCTGTTTTTTTCTGTTGTTTTTGTTTCTTTGTCTTTTTGTTTATATCAAGTTACTTTTTTATTGATTAGTTGAATAACAAAAATTAAAAAAAAAAACAATGCAATACATATCAGTATAGTCAACTAATTAAAGATACCAAGCTGATAATTTGGGACGCCAGACATAATAATCACTTGATTCAAAAGAGTTACAAGACCAAATCGAATACAAAGTTGCTGAGCATTAAAAACCGAAAATTCCGAAAAAGTATGCCAAATACCAGAAAGAGCTCTTAATTTTTTTTATGAAGAAGAAGATAAACAATGTCGTACACAAGTATGTTTAATATGATTATTGCATTTTTTTCTAAAGGTTCCATCCATTTTCTAGTGTATCTCGTACATTATTGAATGATACAAGTGACAGAAAAGTTAATTGCTTTATTCTAAAAACTTAAGGAATGTCAATCCTTGTCCCTTGTTTATCAGAAAATGCACAGTACACCTTTTTTTAATGATCGAACATAACATAAAGTATGGATAACAAGCTTCCAAATGTCAAATAATTTAGTCCGTACGCATTTAAACCCTATTATAAATCTTTGAGACTAACTGAGTAGACGGGCTGCCAACGCCAACCTCAATCATTTGACTAATTCAGTGGACGTTGATAGCAAAAGATACAACAGTACCGAATACAAAGTTCTAATTGATTCATTCCAAGGAGATATAGAACATTGTTAGTTGTACCATTCATTATGACCAGTTAGAATTTAACAAATTTTTAGTCTAAACCATTTGTGAAAAATCAATTTGAATTTTTTGCATGTCTCCCTATCACTAACTTTTTGTCACGAAATTGTATTTCCTTCTTTTGATGTTATCAAATAATTAAGTATACCTTTTGTTAATTTTTCGTCTGAAGAACAGCTTTTTCGATAGCACGAACAATCTTCCTCTGACGGAATACAATAACAGACATTTATTGGTTTAATGACAAAATCAAATCCTTTATTGTAATTACATCGACAAGTACGATCTTCGGTTGTTGATCCGTTGCTGGCAATCACTTGTCCCATTTCGTTGCAATCATATTTTAAAATTTCACATTTACTGCTTCGGTTAGACCATAATTTAACAGGCTGATACCTTGAGTCATTGCAGTTATCGTTATCACGTTCACCCCTGATGACATATCGTTTACCTAATAAATTATATGACAGTGTTTGTCATTTATATAGCCTGATTCAAATATAAAACGAACAAAACAAAATGACATTTGACGTTAAATTTAAGTATTTGTAATAATTTCACATATTATTACTGCCGTATACGTAAAGTTCATTCCAGTATGATTTCTGTATGAAGCGACAACACAACAACATGCTGAGGCGGTCAATTTATAATATAAAATGTGTATACGTTCATATATCATACACAGAATTACGGAAGCCCATAGGGGACCTACAAAAAAATAATATTATATCGTTATCTCAATATATATATCGTTATTTCGATATAATTAAATCGTTATCTCGATATATTTATAGCGTCATCTCGATATTTATATCGTTATATCAATATATTTATTTCGTTATCTCGATATAATTATATCGTTATTTCCATATATTTATTTCGTTATCTCGATATAATTATATCGTTATCTCGATATTTATATCGTTATCTCGATATTTATATCGTTATATCGATATAATTATATCGTTAACTCCATATATTTATTTCGTTATCTCGATATGATTATATCGTTATCTCGATATTTATATCGTTATAACGATATAATATTCATTTCGTTATCTCGATATAATTATATCGTTATCTCGATATAATTAAATCTTTATCTCGATATTTATATAGTTAAGGTGGGGTTGGGTTATTGCACCTTTTTTGCAAATAACTCAAAAACTTATACATATATCAAAATTCTAGCAGATGGTTAAATTGATTAGAACATAATGATCTGTATCTGCCAAAATTTAAGTTTAGGTTGATCGGAAAACTTATTAAAGAGCTATGGGCCTTTATTTGCAATTTTTTCAAATCTTCATCTTAGTTTTGACAATATCTTGAAAGTCGTAAAAGCTAGAGCCTTTTTTGGTTTTTCATCAATATTCCAAAGTATTTCCTGTTTACAATTATATTACTCCTCTAGGTAAGAGACTGAGGTTCCCTGTTTACAGAAATGACATCTATCCAGGAGCAATAGAAAGCTATCAAAGTCCACTTTAACCTTTATTTAACATTGAGTTTAAAAGAAATACATAGTTCCCTTTGCAAAATGATAAGCGCATACAATATCAAAAAAGTATAAATGCATGATAATTACATAAAGGCTTTCATTGGTAGTAGATATGGAAATATAGAAACAGTAATTTTGAAAATTTAGGCGAAATGTATTTCTTACTCTAAAAGAAGTATATAAATATATGCAGTGTTGTATATGTATATATATTTTAAAATACGTCTAAACATCAACCCAACAATGTTAGGTCTGTAAATTTCCTCTCGCACATTTTTGTTCTTCCCTCGCCGGGATTCGAACTCATGCTCCTGAGATATCGTGGCACCAAATCGCCTTGCACTATGCCCGACGCGCTAGACCACTCGACCACCTAGGCTCTACAATAATAAAGCTTTCGGTGGCCGGATGTTACTTTTCCTCGTCGTATATTTTAAAATATATATACATATACAACACTGCATATATTTATATGCTTCTTTTAGAGTAAGAAATACATTTCGCCTAAATTTTTAAAATTACTGTTTCTAATATGTTTTTATCGATCAAATCAAATCCATTCAATTCAAATTTTAGATTAAAAGCTAGAGCCTTAGTTTAAATTGGAAATTGTTCAGATCATTAAGAGCTACAATAAAGTCTTGTGGGCAAAACTTTCAGATTTGGTTCTCTTAAAATACCCAAATTTGCAGATTTTCGCATATTTTTGCATATTTATTGAAAACTAAAGGCCCCAGGTTTGCTTGAACATTTTTTTATTTTATTATATACACAAGGTCAGTAACTCGACAAATCAAGAATATGGTCTTCGTTTTCTCGTTGTATTTTGTTTATGTATAATTAAATTGAGAATGGAAATGGGGAATGTGTCAAAGGGACAACAACCCGACCAAAGAGCAGAAAACAACTGAAGACCACCAATGTGTCTTCAATACAGCGAGAAAATCCCGCGCACCCGGAGGAGTGCTTCAGCTGGCCCCTAAACAAAAATGTATACTAGTGATAATGGACGTCATACTAAACTCCGAAATATATAAAAGAAACTTAAATTAAAAATTACACAAGACTAGCAAAAGCCAGAGGCTCCTGAATTGGGACAGGCGCAAAAATGCGGCGGGGTTAAACGATGTTTTTTAAGTTCTCAACCCTCCCCCTATACCTTTAGCCAATGTAGAAAAAACAAACACATAGCAATACGCACGGTAAAACACAGTTCAAAAGAAGTCCGAGTCCGATGTCAGAATAGGTAACAAAAGAAACTAAACAAAATGACAATGATACATAAACTAACAAAGGAATACTAGCAGTTACTGACATGCCAGCTCCAGACCTCAATTAAATTGTCTAGATCCACATCTTAAAATTTTCAAAGGTATATTGCATTTTCTTTAAAACGAGCCATAAACCGACATTTTACATGTAATAATAAAAAAGTTATGCAATGAAACATCTCATAATTTGAACCTATTTATTGAGGTCGGATAACTATCGGTCAGCGCCGGCTAACACCACTGGGGGATTAATCGAACATTCTTCATTTCGCGCGCTTCTGATAGATGCCATACCTTGAAAGACATTAAACAGGCTTATTTTTTTTGCGCTGGCAGTTTGATCCGCTTGCTTGGTATGTCAATTTCTGTTTACATTGATTGATGTTTGCTTAACGTTCAGTCGCAAATATTTCATGCATAATCAGGACGAAAAGAAGAAAGCGACAGACCAGGGAAGCCGATCGAACTGCCGGTGCAAAAATGTAATGTCGTTAAAGTTTTGTATCAATCTGTAGCTGACGCGAAAATGCGTAGAACTGTCGATTTTCAATATATGTCCCAGACACGCTTGAAATAGTATATATATCTGTAATATACACTAGGTCGGACAACTATCGGGGAGCGTTTGCTAACCCACTGGAGGATCAATCGACAGTTACAGTAACTCCTAACGACAAAACCATTATATTTATATTTTATGTGTACATTTTTTTTTTATTACAATAACGCCAATTTGTCCCAGGAAAGAGTTGTCTTATTAATTCTCTTACTACATCTCATTTATTACGACCTCGTGTATATTAAAAATATATATACTAGTTCAAGCGGGCCTAAGACATTTAAAACTTAATGTTAAATAAAGGTTAAAATGGACTTTGTTAGCTTTCTTTTGCCCCTGTATAGATGGCATTTCTGTAAATCTGTTTCCTGGATGACTAAGATAATTTTAAACAAGAAATATTTTGGAATAATAATAATAATAAAAAGGTTCTAGCTTTTCAAAATATTGTCAAAATTATAAAAAATTGAGAAAAAATGCAAATAAAGGGCCATAGCTCCGAAACGAATTGTCCGATCAACCTGAACTTAAATTTCGGCAGAGGCAGATCATAATGTACTTATCAATTTTACTCTCTGCTAGATTTTGATATCTGTATAAGTTTTTGAGTTATTTGCAAAAAGGTGCCATAACCCCACCTTAACTATATAATGATATCGAGATAACGACATAATTATATCGAGAAAACGATATAATTATATCGAGATAACGAAATAAATATATGGAGATAACGATATAAATATCGTTATAACGATATAAATATCGAGATAACGATAAATTATATCGAGAAAACGAAATAATTTATATGGAAATAACGATATGATTATATCGATATAACGATATAAATATCGAGATAACGATAAAATTATATCGAGATAACGAAATAAATATATGGAGATAACGATATAATTATATCGAGATAACGATACAAATATCGAGATAACGATATAATTATATCGAGATAACGAAATAAATATCTTGATATAACGATATAAATATGGAGATAACGATATAATTATATCGAGATAACAAAATAAATATATGGAGATAACGATATAATTATGGAGATAACGATATAAATATATCGAGATAACGATTTAATTATATCGAAATAACGATATATTTATTGAGATAACGATAAAATATTATTTTTGTAGGTCCCCTAAGGGCTTCCGTATTACAAAAAAATAATATTATATCGTTATCTCAAAATATATATCGTTATTTCGATATAATTAAATCGTCATCTCGATATATTTATATCGTTATATCAATATATTTATTTCGTTATCTCGATATAATTATATCGTTATCTCCATATATTTATTTCGTTATCTCGATATAATTATCTCGTTATCTCAATATTTATATCGTTATCTCGATATTTATATCGTAACATCATATAATTATATCGTTGTCTCTATATATTTATATCGTTATAACGATATAATATTCATTTCGTTATCTCGATATAATTATATCGTTATCTCAGATAACGATACAAATATCGAGATAACGATATAAATATATGGAGATAACAATATAATTATATCGAGATAACGAAATAAATATATTGATATAACGATATAAATATCGAGATAACGATATAATTATATCGAGATAACGAAATAAATATACGGAGATAACGATATAATTATATCGAGATAAAGAAAAATATATATGGAGATAACGATATAAATATCGAGATAACGATATAAATTTATCGAGATAACGATTTAATTATATCGAAATAACGATATATATATTGAGATAACGATATTATATTATTTTTTTGTAGGTCCCCTATGGGCTTCCGTATTGAATCGTTGTATTTTGGTTAAGTCATCAAAGTTAATTATGAAATTACATGTTTAACTCCAGCTGTAATTTCTGTTTTAGAAACACACACATATTGAAAAACTAAAAGCTCAACACTGTCATAAAATTATGTATACAAATAACTTCATTTGACAGCTGGTATAAGTGTTACATGTGTATCATCTCCCAGAATATATAACATATGACAATTACATTGAAAGTGTTAAGATTATTTTCTGATACTGTACCGTTCGTTGGGAAATTATCGTTAAAAATTATGCTGTCTGTATTGAAATATA